TATTTTTGATCTACGTCGCGTAACTAAGGCACAATGAGAATGGCTTGGGAAGTCAAGATTAATCCACAAAAGCGCATATTTTTTCACAGTTAAATTTCTTAAGTCCATTAGCTTACCAGTCGCAAAAAATCAATGCTGCTAGTGATATTACTGCGTCCACTCAGATTCACATAGAACAAACATATCGTAAGACAAATATATACATGTCAGGAGCATGTTTCAAATTTCCTCAAAATTATTCCCTTCAACCAAACTTTGAGCCATAATCAGAAAAAATACAACAAATCGTCCGCGAGTTTTGCTACTCTGGTTACGCAGAGAGAAAAAACGAAAAGACGAAGGTGAACAAATCATAGGCAATAAATCATCGACTAGTAGGATTACGGAAAACTACCGGCTAGTTTCTCCGCCGTAGAAAGGCCGTCTTTTTGGCTGCTTCCAAGCTCGACCATGAAGAAACTTAACTCTGCAAAACCTTTGGCACTATGCCCTATCTGAAAATACCGCGGATAACTGGTCTTCCCGGTTACTATGCCCAGCAACGTTCCGTCGTTTGTATCTTCTTGTATCGTTGAAGTTGCTGCAAACAAGTCGTATATGGTTCCGTTTCCTCTTCCAACTGGGAAGAAAACCTGCTTTTGCTAACAGGCCCTACTTCACGATCATACAAAGGGCTAATTTTTAAACGGTTACTTTGAAGTCGACATTTCCTACTTATCCTCTTTAAAACCGTTACGATAATGTGACTAAAGTCTGTGCTAATAACTACGTTCCAGACGTCCAGCTTATCCAGGGAGAGCTTTTCGTTCAATGTGAGTTACAGTAAGGATATCAAGAGGCCAGTGGATCCCTCGAAAACCCCTGTAGGGCGCCGATATTTGGAGTCTTTTTCAACATGTCGAAACATAGTAGAAATAGAAAGTGAATTAACCTCAAAGGAACAACCTGGTACTTGCCTTGTTAAGAATAACCTCACTGTTAGTACCATATTCCAAACAAAGACATCCAAGTCCTCTTATTTAAGATCACATAAATATTGTTTAGTTCAAGATGGGTAACAGCAAATCGTTTATTACTTTACTTTGCCGTTTTGCTTCAGTAATGTATGAGCCAAGACAAAATTTTTTCTCCCATGTCTTCGTAAGAAATCCACCTAGTATTATTGCTGACCTAGAAAGAGAACCATTTTCTAGAACCAAACTAAAAAAACCGGAAAATACATAGCTGAAACGCGGACTCAGTGCAAAAAATTAGGGAAATTTTTGGCATACAATTTATGCAATCAAACTTTAAAAAATTTAGTGTTGATTTGCAAGTGAATCGTGACAGTGCAGAAATTTGTTCTTTGAGGCAACTGACTGAGATTTTTATCAAAAACTAATAATTTTATTAAAAGGAAGCAAAACTTATGACTGCTAGAAAAAAATTTTTCTTATTTTCACAAACTGTGTCAACAATTCGTCCCGATACCAACGTTCTTTACCGCATAATTTTCGGTAATTCTAGGCAGGGAATAGAGTGAGGTCGTAAGCTTTTAAACATAGATTTATCTTTACAATCTTTTCCACTCACCAGTTCTTTTTTTTTTTACTAGCTGTATTGCTTGATGTTTGTAAATGTAAATTATAGCTGTTCTTGAAACGGATAGGAATTTTAACGTTTTTGACGAACATTTAAGACCGCAAAAGAAGTACTGCAATTAAATCTGTCAGTTGCAATCACAGTGAATTTAATATTTAATTTGGCAAGTAATGCATATAAGGTACAAAGAATTCATTGAAGAAGTGATAACAAGTTTCCTAAAACTGACCAGCGAACCAAACAGTGCCATATGCCAGTATCAGTCGACATTTTATGAACCAGTAGGGCCTAAAGTAAACAGTTAATCAATGGGAAAAATGTGTTCCAAAAAAATTGTATATATGTATATGTATAATTAGAGACAGATGACACTTCAACTGGTGAATTGTAAAGGACGTTAGCGGTAAGCAAGTATAAATCTTCCTCAACTTTACCTCCGTACACTTTAAAATTACAACTCTAACAGGTTAACGAAGCTCTGGAAAGCTCGCGGTAATGATCTATCAGGGTTAATGGATGCTTATATTCGCGAACACTTAATCAGGGTAGATCTATTAAACATTAATCAACTTCTTTTTGATGTTTTCTTTCAAGAAAAAAAAGTATTCCATATTTATTAGCCAGAGCAAAAGATTAACAAGTTTAAATTTTAGAACCAACCAGGACTAGGACCAGTGAAATTGAGGTTGTACAACTGCGCTATTAATGGAAGTCGATCGCTACCAAAAAAGTGGCGGCGTAATTTTGTGTCCTTGTCCGTAACAATAATCCACGGAACACCAAAGGCCTTAAATTAACTTGAATTGCAGTTCTTCATAGGAAGAGATTTACTCAAATTGTAGAATTTTAAAAGTACAGAGTTTACAGTAGAAAAAAGGTACCAACTAGTGATTAATATTGCTAATTTGACTATTTGTGATAAAAATAGTTACTCCAGAATTCACAGCTTCAACAGTAGTATCCTGCAACTTTTTTTTTGCTAAAGTTTCAGATGCTATTTCGACAAACTCCTCATCTACTGCAATGGATTTAGCAACCTGAAAAGAATTATTGATAGATTGAAGATTTGAAAAAGCAAGTATTACGGGGAATTCGTCTAAAGAAAAGGTTACGAAGTACTGGGTAATAGAAGATTAAACCAACTTCAATTAAATCGTCTTTCTTATTTGTTAATTTATTTTCTTTCCAAAATCGCAACCAAATAGCACGAGAAGCTTCGAGAAGTTTTGAAGAATTTTTGTCTGATATGACAGTCAAAAATGACTGTGCGTATTCAGTGTCATTTTGCAATATCCTTTCTGCAAAATTCTGAAGCAAAACAATACTTCCGGTACTGCAGTTTAAATGGTGACATTGGAGTTTGAATAAAACCAACTTCGGAGAAACAAAGAGGAACATTCCAGTAATTTGAGAGTATATTCAGTTCGGTGTACATTTGCTTAGACTTTTTTCCTTCCGTAAGCGGCGATTTGTTCCCTAAAAAAAACTCTAGTTACTATAAGACTTAATTACACTTATTTTTCTAATTCACAAATTAGTTACCTGTAGAGCTTAAAATTTTGCTAAGGAGAACTGGCCGTAAAACAAGCTGTATTGGCCATAATTTCTCGTACCGAATAAGCGCCTGAAAAACAAGTCGTGATTTGAAAGCTAAAAGCAATACTTTCACATCATTACTATCTATACATACTATAAAATCCAGAGAAATTTAAGTTACATTTCAAAAAAAATTAGTATTTCTTCTTCAGTATGCAAATATACAACAGTTTGGCACTTTAAAAGAAACTAAAGAAGGCTGCTGATGATTGGACTGCTCAGTTTCATATTTGAAAGCAGTATTAGATATGGTTGTATACTTTTCCATTTAAATCTAGCACTATTTAATTCTTGCTTTTTTTTTTTTGATGACCCTGGCTGTTAATTCAAGATTGAAGAGAAGTTTAAAAAGTGGGTTTTCAATTAAAAGCAAATAAATGTCCAATTCCTTTTGAAGTACCTCGTCCCCAAGATCTGTAGCTCACCGCACTTCTTAAAAAGTTCAAAGGTTTTTAATTTATTCAATAGTTCTTCCAAAAAATATTAGCCCAATAATTTTCAAAAGTAGAAGTTTTCTCCAACTTTTTTAAAGTGAATTTTTTGCGTGCATAACTTCTTGCTGCTCGAGAGAGTAAAAGTTAGTTATTTGACCTCATCGAATCTAAGAGACGAAAACTGAAGTGAGACGAAAAATGATTCCCAAAATTTCAATACACCTCTGAGTACTTTTGTTATTTAGAGCTCTTTCCTTCAATTTTGTAAGCAAAACAAAAATGGAATTTTTGTAGCAAGGAGAATTCATATCGCATGACAAAAGTAATAAAATAAACCAAATAAATAATAGCCTTTTTGTTTTATTTCACTTTTTTTTCTTCCAACTCCCCAACGTGTGAAAGACAAATGACAAAACTCCACCGTATTCTACTATTAAAAAGCTTTTCACTAACAAACTTTCCTTCAGAACCTGAATAAGTTCTTTCCCTTTAAATATTCTTGATGTAAGTGCTGTTGTTTCACGGGCTTGTAAGTGAGTTAATACTAATTTTTAAACAGGAATTGGAAGCTACTAAATAAAATGAAAATTTCTGAACTCCATTTAGAACGAGCACGAACACAAATCTAGAAATGAAAAGCTAAAATTTAGTACTTCTTGCACTTCAACAAACCCTGACATTCACTACTTTTGGATATGCAGACTCGAAACTGGTTCATCAAACACCAAAACCAGAAAAAACCTGTAATATGAGCTGATAAGAGTGTGAGACTGGATGTGAAACCGTCAACAACTATTGTCTCTCACAGAATCTCTTTAAGCAATCCCAATCGTAACTTTTAAAATGTGATTCTTTATAACAGTCTACTGAAAATCCGAATGAATAGCTGCTACTAAAAATGCAACAGTATGTCCAATTTGAATTCATTTTGGCCTATTATTAAGAACTTTTTATGCTGGAAAGCGTAAACGTGCAAATTCCTTATCACAAATAGACCCAAGAATTGATGAAATATGACAGGAATAAAAGAAACCAGCAAGCAAAACAAGCAACTAGAGACGGAAGACAAACTTTTCATGCATGAAAATGAAGAATATCTAAACCTGTTTAAGTAAACATACTTCAAAAGCCATCCACGAATATGGGCAGACAGTATCATAAAACAAGTTTAACAACAGTCTTCTTCCCACTTCCGACATTTTCGACCAACGTACTCACATAACGGAGCCGGACTATTCAAAACAAAATACGAAAACCCAAAAACGCGAAAACCTGCGCACAAATCATGATTCAAAGAAAAGACTTGAAACCAAAATAAACTTTTAGCGGTGGTAACTGTCAAATCCAATCGTGAAGTTGAACTAGCCTTTCAGAAGAAATTTTGCGACCTCACGCACTATAAGACTTTAAATGAATGCTGGAAGAACTGTGCACCACAATTCCCGAAGCAAGAAGTGATTACCAGTGAACGTTTATTAAGAAACCACTGAACAGTCAATAATATAATCGTAACCCGCAATCTGTTCTAGATCATTAAAAGAATACTACTCATTAAGACTGACTGATTCCCCTAATCATTGTTTTCGTTCGGCCTTCTTACAAAGTAAATCGAATGAAGCTTTCCTGGCAATATCAACTTAACACACTTTTGTTTGAAACTACTAGTCCTACTACTCAACTTGAAATTATTTAAAGTGAAGGCCGAACGGCGTAAGAAACTGAACGGCCTAATATTTACTATTTCTTTAAAAAATTGACCAATCAGAACATGTAATAAAGACTCTTAAAATAACCCACGAATCATCAAACTTTTACCCAATAAGTTAAATCACAAACATTCCACAATGAAATCCAACTCATTCTAATCAACAACTTGTAATTTCAGTTAACTAGGCACGAAAACTAGACTGTCAAAGAACAAAGAGACCAGAAATAATAATAAGATCTAATCTGGTCTCAGAGACACGAATAAGTAATTACAAAACTTTTTATAAATCAAAAGTTTTTCAACTATATTATATCAGCACCATCCGTCACCAACAAAAATAACAGCAGCAGTAACGACCGAAGAATGCTCTTAAAAAATTTACAAAGAATTTCATATAACTATTACACTTAAGATTCAGAATCGAGTTCCTCTCATGAAATGACCACCTCTTGACCGTCCTCTGGAAAAACGACCCCGATTAGTATTTGATCGCCCCAAGCTAAGTTCATTACAGCCACTCCGAAAAGGATCGTAAGCACCACTCATTTCTGGGTTTCCTAAAACATTCGAATCCCTCAAATCCCTCGCAAACACAACAGGCTCTAAGAAAGTTAAACATTCCACGAAAACTCGGCAATTAAGAAGCGACAATTGAATGACTCACCGTAAAACGTTTTCATATCAAAATTTTCATATTTAATCGGCTTTTCAACTGACACTTGTTCCTCAGCATCTGTTTTGTTCTTTTTTTCAGGTTTCTTTGGAGGAGGGCCTGCACTTGTGTCATTAAATCGAATATCAGCGCTCTTCTTTTCCTATAAATCAGCAGCACTGACGATAGCCTCACTAAGAGTAATAAATGATCTGCTACAAGTGAAAAGCAAGGAACAAAAAAAGATAATAATAAGTGCGCGGATGACTGACATGTCGCAGTTTTCGTTTCAAGGCCTTCTTAGTCATAATCATTTCAGGATATGGTACAGAAAAAGAATCTGATTTCTCTTCTGATACTGTCTTCTTCTTTTTCCGCTTTGATACTATTTGCATTTCATCTTCTGTCATACCCTGCAGAGCATGCACGTCTAAGTTGGTCAAATAAAGGAGAGAAACAGGAAAAATAAAAAACAAGTGGTTTATACTTAAAAGCTTTTTCAGTCATAATCATTTCCACACACAAAAAAAAGGAAAATTTCAAACCTTTTCGCTACAGTACAGAAAAAAATTTTTAAAAAAGCACAAAGGCAAAACTGAATTCCTATAAAAAAGATACCTTCACAGAAACTGGTTCCTGTATTCTTGCTGGATCATGGTGTGTCCAAACTTTTTTCGGCTGATTTTTCTCTTCTTCCTCAATTCTTTTCTGCAGTTCCTGTTGTTGCTTCTACAAGTCCATCTTTTAAACAAGTAATTATAAAAAAACCAGTAAAAGTAAAGGTCAAAAACAACTAACTTCCTTGACTTCTTCTTGTTCTAAAGCTATCTTGTAACACTCGTATGGCGTAGCCCAATCATCCAGTTCTCCCAACACTTTCTTGACTTTTTCACCTGGAGCTTCCAAAACCTTCTGTGTGACCAAATTTCCAATTTCAAACTTATCTCCTGCATAAATATCCCCTACAAGAGAGTAAGAGCATTCCTTCTCTGGAGAGTCGCCATCGTTTTCATGCACTCTTGCAGTAAAAGTTCTGATGCTCTCATCAAATTTTGTTGAAGAAAAGTCCAAATGACACCTGGAAAAAAAAGAATGCCACTACTACAGCTAAAAATAATACATCCAGATAATAAATAAATAAATAAAGCTAAATCAATAATTTAAAAAAAAATACTTTAATAATGCCTTTGACTTTGTCATCTTGCTAATTTTTGCTAGTACACTGTCAAAAGTTAATTTTGCAACAGTAGCCGTAGCAAGTGACGATTTGATAAGAGGTTGGTCACGTGCTTCGTGAATAATATGATGCAGTATGTGAAGTTCTTGCTTAACAAATGGTGGAACAGGATAACAACAAGCTAGAATACCTTGGAGTTCTCGCGGCAGTACCTGTAACATGTTCAGTTACCCGTAAAAAAAGAATAAAAAGCACTAAAACTAATGATGATTCTGCTAAAATATTCCTTGAATTTTAGGCAGTTTACATAAAAAAACCAAAATTAACAGAACCTCAGCAATTTTCAGAAGCATGTGGTTGGGAAGGACATAGTCTATACTTTCGTCTTCAGCTCTGGATCTTTCGTCTCGCCATCTGTATAAAGCACTCAGTGCGTAACGCTGCTGAGAATTCAGCCGTTTCTCAATCATCATCTCAAAACCTTTGCTTTCAAAAACTGGCTTCTCGTAAACCTGTAAATTTACCTTTAAGACAAGAATGAAACAATCTGTAAAAATTAATATTTGATGTAGTAATAGAAAAAAAAATCTGCTTTTATACCTGTAAATCTAAACCACTACCCAGATAAGACTGACTGTTTTCGAAAATTCTGGACTACGTAGAAATTAAATTACCTTTAAACATAATAGCTTTGACTTATCGTACACATAATGCAACAAATTCTTCATCTCATTTCCGCTTTCCAGTAAATTCTGCCTAAGCTTATCATAACAATGCAAAAGAAAATGAGTGTCTCGTCTTGCGTACTCGATTTGTGCTTCGCTAAGTGGCCTTAGAATACAAACGGTTTAAATCAAGTAATAATAAACAGACTTATGGAAAGTCCCTCAAAAAAAATTATTTTTTGAAAGTACTAACCGGATTCTCCAGTCTGACTTCTGCATAGACTTGTCAAGGGCAATGTCACAAAAAACACTAACTATATAGCCTAAATTATGTCTAGCAAAGTTTAATATTTCGGAAGCAAAATAAGTATCAAACATGTTCACAACATAAATTCCAAAGTCTCGCTGCAACCAGAGAACGTCGCGCTCAGCGCCATGAAAAACCTGTAAAAAAAAAAGTTGTCTGTCACTACTGTCTAACTGAAAAAATTAAGACAGTATAGAAGATTCACAACATTTAGAAGAAAGAAGGAAAAAGCATGACACAGGAATTATCAATATCCTCTAAGCACTAATGCAAAAAATTGTCATAATTTACTTTCAAGATTTTTGGATCCGTAAATGGTTCATTTAGGATACCCATCTTTCCCCACACTGGAAAAGGATCAATTATATAATCAGTTGTTCTCGTTGATATCTGCATCAAACACGTTAAGCCCAAGAAAGACCGGTAGTCATGGTGCTGGAATTTCATAGTAACATTTCAACAAATATTAACGCTTAAAAAGGGAAAACAGATTAGAAGTACCTCTAAATCGACAGCAAACTCTGTTTCTCCATTCAAAGTATCACGTAGTTCAACCAGTTTTTCAACTGTATCTATTATAACTAGCTTTGTTTCTTCAACAGACTTTAATGGCACTACATCTCCAGCTTCAAGTTGCCCGTCTGGAACCTAAAATAGTCGTAAATACACAAAAAGATCAAACATATTTCGTTTAAGAAAACAAAAATAGCCAACCTCAAGTCAGAAATAAGCAGATAATGATGTAGATAGTTTCATTAATTACTAATAAGATTAGAAGTACCTCTAAATCGACAGCAGTATTCTATCAAACGATGAGACTGTACAAAAACAGAAAGAATTAACTACAGGAACTAGATAGTACTAAGTTATCACAAACCGAGAAATGATCGAGTTCAATTTGATACGGATGGGCATGTTCTGCTTCATCACTGGCCCACTCCGCAGTGTTTTTATCATCATTACTGTCAGTAATGCACAAGTTCCCTGCTGACCTTTTAAATGAATGGTGTTTTATTTTCAACTTTGAGATAAATTTCCCGTGACTATTATCAACAGGAATAGAATAAACATCTTGTGGTTTTCCAATTATTACCTAAAAAAAAGAAAATCTCAAAAACCTAATACTCTAAAAAAAGCAATTTGTTCTGAAGAGTATGTCTTCAAGAAAAATACTCCACACATAAGCACTAACTTAAGTGACGCCAACAAATAAAAAATTTTTCTTATTTCCATAGAGGCACAACTGCACAACACAAAGTAAATAAAACAATTCCAAGGAACAAAAAAGGCACTCACAGGCAGATCTGCAGGTAAATGTGAATTCGATGACGTTGATGCTGCATTAGCACGTGCGGCAAGAGCGCTGTAACGACTTGGGGCCTGTATAATAGTGCTTTCAGCACCTGGTTCAACCCTAGGCACCACATTGGCTTCTTCTGTACCTTCTTTAGCAGCATTATCTAGTAATACTCCCTTAAAACTCTTTCTTAAGTAATGTACTACAAATATTTGCTAAGTTTGTATAGCTAACTACCATTCTTTCAAATATCCTATCATTCGCTTCAACCAAAGTATCGAATAACTCTTCGACATCGCCAAGAGTCTTGGGGATTCTGACTCGAAGACCAGAACTCTGGAGCGTACGATGAAGTCTCAAAAAATATAAGTTTTGGATGGTTTAAATAAACATTCTTCTAACATTCAGCCGACAGATAAAATAAATAAACAAAGGATGCATGACTAATAGAACTGCAAAATTTATAAGACTTCAAATATCTTACAGTTTCAAGATACGAGTTTCTTGTTCTTCCATGAACTGAATAAATGCCGGGTACGACGCATAAAGTTCAAATGAGCCGCCTACTTTCGGTAACTGGTTGGAGTGTTTAATGCACTGGATAATATTCTGTTCAGCTTTCTGAAAAAATATAGATCATCGCAAATCAGCTTTCAAACACTTCGACCAGAAAGATTTAGTAGGATGTGACACAAAAAACGTGAAAAGAAACCAACTTTAACAATCTCCTTCAATGCCGCCTCGTTGTTTCTAATAACGCTTTTGGTACCTTCTGTTTTAACATCTTCTGATTCTGCCATTTTCATACATGTGCACAGAAGTTCAGTATAACCACA